AGAGGGAGGGAGGGAGAGAGAGAGAGAGAGAGAGAGAGAGAGAGAGAGGAGAGAGAGAGAGAGAGAGAGAGAGAGAGAGAGAGAGAGAGAGAGAGAGAGAGAGAGAGGGAGAGAGAGAGGAGAGAGAGATAGAGGAGAGAGAGAGGAGAGAGAGAGGAGGGGGGGGGGGGGGAGAGTGACGGAGACAGACAGACAGAGAAAATGTGAGACAGAGAGAAAGAGAGAGACAGAGACAGAAACAGAGAGAGAGAGACAGACAGAAACAGAGAGAGAGAGACAGAGACAGAGACAGAGACAGAAACAAAGAGAGAGAGAGAGAGAGAAAGAGAGTCAGAGACAGAGAGACATACAGAAGGTGTGTGGAGACGAGACGTGGATAAAACGCCCTCGGGGGGAAAAAGGGAGTGAGGAAGGGCAGAAGAAAAAAGAAGAGAGTGATGGTACGTAAATAGAATGGAAAAATACACGTGAATATACCAAGGAAATCATTATTATTATTATCATAAGCAGACGAAGGCAAGTGCTGGTAACCTGGATGTTGGCAAGCGAGAACATTATTAAGTGTTGTCAGACTGCTTTAGGATGGAATAATGGCAAAATAATATTGATAATTGTAGAGATTATTATGGTGATACCAATAAAGAATAAATAAACAGTGATGATAACGATATCATTATTGATGATGATAACAACGTAATAATGATAATGCGATAGTAACAATAGTATTGATAATAGCAGCATTGGAGATAATAACGATAAAAGTAATGATGACAACTATAATGATAATGGTGATGTTTTTAATGGTGTTGATAATAACAATAACAATAATGATGATTTATAATAATAATAATAATAATAATAATAATAACAATAATAAAAATAACAATAATTGTGATAATAATAATAGCAATAATAATAACAATAACGATAACAATAATAATTATTATTATATGATAATGATAACGATTATGATGATGATAATAATAATAATATTGACAAGAAGAAGGACAATAATAATGATAATGATAATAGTAATAATGATAAGTACTATTATCATAGTGATAGTAATGATTATTAATATGATAATAACAATAACCATGATAATAATGACATGACAGTAATAATGGTGATACCAATACTTCTAAAATTAATGTTAATGATGATGACAAATATGATAACAATGATAAAAATAATGATAATGATAGTAATGATAATGATGACAATAATAATGATAACAGTAATGATAAAAACAATAATTATAATGATGATGGTGATAATGATAATGATAATAATAATAATAATAATGAAAATAATAATAATAATGATAAGGATAATAATAATTATAATAGTAATAAGAATAACACTGATAATAATAATAATGATAATGATAATAATAATAATAATAATAATGATAATAATAATAATAATAATAATAATGATAATAATAATAATGGTGATAATGATCATAATAGCAAGGAGAAATACAATAATTCTGGTGATGATAATGATAATAATAATAATGATGATAATGATAACAATAATAATAATAATAATAATAATAATAATGATAATAATAATAGCAAGAATGAAGTAATGGTAGTAATGATAAAAGTAATAGTAGTAATGATAATGACAATAATAATAATAATAATAATAATAATAATAATAATAATAATAATGATAATGATAATAATAATAATAATAATGATTATGACAATAATAATAATAATAATAATAATAATAATAATAATAATAATAATAATAATAATGAAAATAATGATGATGCTAATGATAATAACAACAACAACAACAACAATAATGATAATAATAATAATAATAATGATAATAATAATAATAATGATAACAATAATAATGATGAAAATAATGATGATAATAAAGATGACGATGGTGATGATGATGCTAATTACAGTAATAACAATAATGTAAAATAATTGAATAATGATAACATACAAACAAAAGCATAAAAACAAACAATAATAGTATATAACGGGCCTCGGATAAATTAATTTAGTCACCCATGAAACCCCTTGCCAATGTTGACATAGAAAACGCGGTCTGGGAAAACTTGCCGGTTATTAACATCAGAAAATGGGTAAGAGGGGAAACTACACAAAAAAAAACAACAGAAAATACTGAGAATGTGCCATTTTGTTTGGTTTTAGGGTTAAAGTTTACAAAAGGACCGCACCGACTAGGAGAAAATTGAAGATCATAGCGTTGTAGGCAATGAAAAACTACATTGACTGATATCAAAATTAATTTGCAGAAGCCTACCGATTCTAGTTAAACGACGAAAATAGATCGGGGTGAGTGCCGCGCTGCGGCTAAGTCCACTCGGCGTTGACGCGGCTAAGTCCACACGCGACCTATGTTTACTAAGTTCTCGCGCATTGTTAACCCCGACTGCTCGGCCACTGCGCACCTACGTCACATGACGTCACGACGAATCGTGTATTCCATTGTTTTTTTTTAGCTTTTCATACGTTTCTAATCTTAATATTTTTCTTGCATAAACATAAGATGTTATTTAAAATATATTTTTTTCTATTTCATATTGACCTTGTTTCGTCAATTAAGGCCTGTGTTTATTTTTTTTAACAATGATTTCATTTCATACTTTGCGCGCGTAAACGAAGGATGGCTACTTTGACAGCCGGTCAGTTGCAAGTATGACTAACTGGTGTCAAGACTGCGAAAGTGGCTTTGGTGTCTTTTTCAAAAAAAAATCAGGTGAAACTGAAGAACTGATTCGCTTTTGTAGAGCACATGGCCTTCTTCTAAATACTATACAGTGTATAAAGTGTGGGGCAGACTGCCGAACTGATTTCAACAAAAAACAATTTAGATGTGACAAGTCTAAAAAAATACACAATAGGCGTGTAAGATGCCAGTTTCAGAGGTCTGTTTTCAAACACACATGGTTTGAGAATAGTCATATAGACATTGAAACGAATTTATTTTTCGTGAATTTATACTTGAGAAATTATTTTTCATACGAACTTATCAGAGAGGAACTTGGTTTATCCAAAAAAACTATATGTGACTGGGCAAGCTTTTGCCGAGAAGTTTGCGTCTCATGGTGTCTGAGAAACACCTATGAAAAAATAGGTGGCACTGATTACATTGTCGAGATAGACGAAAGCAAATTCGGGAAACGAAAGTACAATGTTGGCCGGTCAATAGAGGGGCAGTGGGTGTTTGGCGGGGTCTGCCGCCAGACAAGACAATTTTTTTTTTTTTTTGGGGGGGGATAATTAAGCCTGTAATTCTTATCATGTCATGTCTGAAACCCTCTTCTTTTAGAATTAATTTTCAAATGTAACAATTTTCATCTCGCTGAAAATTATTTTGTTTTTTCCCACTGTTGTTTCATAATTTTGTTATCAATTACTGCTTTTGAGAATGCAATTGTTTTCGCTGTTATAATTATCAGTATCATTACGATTGTGAAAATATAATAGTAATGATTAATAACTATTATCCCGTTTTAACCTTGCCCTTATTCTTATGATTAAAATTATTCCAACGGCTGAAAACAGTATGGCTGACAACGGGTGAAATGGTGTCACATATAGCTGACAGCAGGAAAGGATGGTGTCAAACATAGCTGACGACGGATGGAAATGGTGTCAAATATAGCTGATCGCACGTAAAGATGGTGTCAAATATGGCCGATCACCAAGTGACGATGGTGTCAAATGTGGCCGACTACCAAGTGATGATGGTGTCAAATATGGCCGACCACCAAGTGACGATAGTGTCAAATATGGCCGACCACCAAGTGACGATGGTGTCAAACATGGCCGACCACCAAGTGCCGATGATGTCAAACATGCCCGACCACCAAGTGCCGATGGTGTCAAACGTGGCCGACTACCAAGTGCCGATGGTGTCAAACATGCCCGACCACCAAATGACGATGGTGTCAAACATGCCCGACCATCAAGTGACGATGGTGTCAAACATGGCCGCCCACCAAGTGACGATGGTGTCAGACATGGCCGACTACCAATTGCCGATGGTGTCAAATATGGCCGACCACCAAGTGACGATGGTGTCAAACATGGCCGACTACCAAGTGCCGATGGTGTCAAATATGGCCGACCACCAAGTGACGATGGTGTCAAACATGGCCGACTACCAAGTGCCGATGGTGTCAAATATGGCCGACCACCAAGTGACGATGGTGTCAAATGTGGCCGACTACCAAGTGACGATGGTGTCAAATATGGCCGACAACCACCGACGATGGTGTCAAATATGGCCGACCACCAAGTGACGATAGTGTCAAATATGGCCGACCACCAAGTGACGATGGTGTCAAATATGGCCGACCACCAAGTGACGATGATGTCAAATATGGCCGACTACCAAGTGCCGATGGTGTCAAATATGGCTTACTGTCGAGGATGGTGTCAAATATGACTGCCAACGGGACGAATTTGGTACTAAATATGGACCCCAAAGGATGAACATGGTGTCAGACGTGGGTGTTCAGCAGACAGTGCCATATCAGAGTGTGGCACGCGGGAACATGGTGGATGTGAAAAGTTAGTGTTAGCACGTGGTGGAAAAGAGAAATATGGTACTGGCAGGGGAGTAATGATAATATTAATAGTAATAATGATAACAATAATGATAATGATGATAATAAAAATGATAGTGATGAAGATAATGATGATGATAATGACAACAATAACAATGATGACGATGATGATGATGATAATAATAATAATAATAATAATAATAATAATAATGATAATAATAACAACAATAATAATTATACTACTACTACTACTAATAATAATAACAATAATAATAATAATGATATTGGTAATAATAGCAAAATTATTATAACAATAACACAGTAATGTGTTACTGTTGTTGTTATGTGCTGTGTGTTAAAAAAGGTAATAACAATATCGATAATTATAATGACAATAATTATGACAACAATAATGAAATAATGATATTGGTGAAGATGATAATGACAATGACAGTCATAATAATGACAGTGATCATGATAACAATGAGTTAGTTTAAAGTGAAAAAAGATAGAGATAAAAGTGATGTTGGCAGCAAAAATGATGGTAACAAAGATAAGAAAATATAATGTAATCCCAGCATCGATTACCATAATTCAGTCGAGGGAAAAAATCCTTGCTTGGATGAATTAAATAAATATAATATATATAAGAAAATATAATGTAATTCCAGCATCGATTACCATAATTCATATATTCAGTCGAATAATAGAGGAAAAAAAATCCTTGCTTGGATGAATTAAAAAAACGCATTAAAGAAAAAAAAAGATTTATTTGTGCCACGTCTACTGTTACACACTCTATTTTCACATAAAACTGAGGTAGATTTGGTAAAAAAAAGAAGAAAAAAAAATGTCTACAAATACACTACAAACGAAACTCTGTAAGTAAATGGTATCTTGAAAAAGAAGATCTATTCACAAAAAAATCATAAGCTTTGATTTTCGAAAGATCACTAATAATATGATATCTATGACAAAGATTCACTGGAAAAAAGTATAATTTTATCAGCAATAATCAAATATAAAAATATATATTTCATAACTGGAATCTCAACAACGCAGAAAAATACAAAAGAGATACAAAACTATTTTTTAATTTTATTCTATTACAAAAAAAAAGGAAAATATTCACAATACAAGTCAAATTCACTGAAACACATTTCGAGCAAAAGTAACTTTACATAAACACACAAAAGATACTATAAAATGATATGAAACTATGAAATGGTCTATACATAAGGAAAAAAAAGTCACACCCATCTATTTTTCTTTTTCTAAAAAAAAATATAAACTGAGCACTTAACCAGAGTTTTTGGAATAACGCTCCTAAGTACTTTGAAAGCGATTTAAAAGTCATACACAAGTGACCAAAATGTGTGAATATTCGATTCCTCAAACAACCTCTTCAGACACAGATTTTCGGAAATGTGATCATCAGAATAAATGCAGATTATTTTTGGAAGTAAAATCTAAGCAGACAAGCAATTGTTTATGTAATATTATATATATATATATAGTTCTCATATTACTTTCCCAGTAAAAGAAAACGAAAAATCTGTACCTCAGAAATACATCTAATCATCAAAGAATATTTCTATATCAAAATACAACAAAATCTCAGAAGTTCCACGTGACTTCAAGTACATCTGGATGCAACACATTAATATACAAAATAACTAATGGAAAAATAATAATAACATAATGTGAACATCAGCTACAAACTGTAAAGACTCCTATATTTTCTCTCTATAAAAAAACGAGTTAACATATGAGGTAATGTTGCAGAGTATATATACACACACATACGATTTCTGTTTTTTTTTTGAAAGTCTAAATTATAATCTATAAATCATTATTACTCTCCACCGAAATGCTTGAGATACGTAAGAGGTTTGAACTCTTCTTATCCGTGCATAATTCTCTTTATACACACACCTGATCAGCAAATCTACTTGAGGTAACTCTATAGCTTTTTTCCCTGATAAGGTAGTTAATGACAACAAAGAAAAGATTACCCTTGAGTTAAATTATGATTTCTGAATAGCTACCTGAGTTTTCCAAATCAGTAAGTACTCTAAGACTGTAAGTGTAACACTAAAACACACGAAAGTAAAAAGGAAAATACACATATGTAGTGTACTTCATTATTACCTCCATTAGTATTCTGTCTCAAGTTTAAGTCAGTCCTATGGCATGTCCACAAACAGTGTAATTTCCTTTTAAATACTGAGGTATGTCCATGAGGATATATTAATGTAGATTACCATGTACATTTTGGATTTTACAAACCAAACACTTATGTACACCCGGAAAAAATGGTCTAACACATACTCTGCATATTCTACTTTCTACTACTAGATAAAATGTACAATATTTACTAGTATTTACACAATCATAAAATATATACCACAATAAACAATCCTCATTCCCCCAAAGTAGAGATGACAATGGAATGCTTGTGTTTTTCAGCTTAGCAGAGTCATTACAACAAAATCATAAAAGACACAGAACAATTATTTTCTTTCTTTAACTGGAACTATTCCTAATTCAACCGTGATACCAGATAACTGATGGTACTAACAGATGATACAAAGATACCTTCGAACACTGAACCGGTTACCAGCTGGTGTATCTATTACCTATACACACATAGAGTTAATCTCTATAAAGCACTTATATTTTTAATGTCTCTATAACCCCTAACGGATCTAGGATGACCTAAATAAACCTCATGGTAATTATTTGGTTAATGACCGTAGACACTGCCACATCAGAAGTCACGAGAGATCCACTTCACTGCTCTCTCTGCCATTCCACTGCAGTCACTGTGACACTGCAGGGAGGTAACACAAACTTCCTGACACAAAAAAATCTCCATCAAAAATGAGTCTTTGTTTACCCTCCCCTCCCGACAACAACAAAAAAAAGGACAAAAAACATACATTATCCATTAATTTGTTTCATTATTCCCCACAGCTCCTTCCCTCCTATTCCCCCTCCCTGATTCCCTGTTGTCGAAGTTTTGATTTTTTAAAGAAATTCGTGAAGAACAGAAGCTCCATCACACTACTTGTACTTAGCTATGGTTGTCTGTTGATATGTCTTAACCCTTTCATCCATACACATTCCATTCTGTGTCTCGATGGGTATGTACAAGCTATGCTATTGGGTGTAAATGATGGAGAATGTACTATGTGTAAAAGCGTTAAGCATATCACAATTTAAAAAGAAAATCTCTACAGTTATATATATATAAATATAAAGCTCATCCGTTAACTTAGAAGAAAAAAAAAACACTAATATAATAACATTGTCCTTGGCACAAAGGGACAAAACAGATTTAAATTGTATGATCTTTATATAAAATGCACCAGTGGATTAGGCCTAAAAAATAATTCTCATCTAAATGCATCGTAAACTACACACTATACTTAATTCAACACACTTTGGAACAGAAAAAATGCTTCAGTCTCGAGTAAACTCTCACAAACTGCTTTCTCTACCAACCCCTGGCTACATTAATTTCAGGTGTTTTTACGACACTGATTTGGCATACAGAATATACCCTTTTCAAGCTTGTAAACATCTAAATATCTCCAACTACAGGAGAGGTCATGTAAACCAATGAGATAAAAAAATACATCCTTTGAAAGATTGTACATTTCTTCTCCTCATTTCCTCTCTCGTTTTCTCTCTTTGTCATCCTATTCGTCAATATTTCTCTCTCTTTTTTCCTACAGGACTAGTATAACTCCGTTGTACGTTACTTACAGAAGACCATCCAGCACATTAATTACGAACTTCACAACACATCAACCTGCCCATTGTAAGGAGGGAAAGTACACACACACACATACACACACACTCGCACGGGATATGTGTATACCTTCCTCCATCAATTTACAATGTGATAATAAATACACACACAGGAAGGGTACAAATCACTGTGTAAGAATGTGCAAAAGTTCATCATTGGCCATCGAGTTCAAAGTGTGGATGTCGATTCCCAGAGCATTAGCAACACTGGCCATATCCAGCCCGAAGCTCTTGAGGAGTTCAATGAAGTTCATTTCTTCGCCTGGGAATGAGAGGAAAATATAGTAAGTTTGGTAGTTGAATCAATAGGTTAACAAAAGAATAGTTTAACTTTAATATAGTTTTTAAAATTGGCAAGATAACTATATTTTTCTTGGATATTTGGACAACAAGTGAATGTTTATAGTACTACTAATGAATATCATTTTAAGCACAATAATAAAAATAATCATGGCGGTAATAATACACAATTTTAACAATTTTAACAGAAAAATGTGAGAGAAAGAGAGAGAGAGAGAGAGAGAGAGAGAGAGAGAGAGAGAGAGAGAGAGAGAGAGAGAGAGAGAGAGAGAGAGAGAGAGAGAGAGTGAGAGAGAGTGAGAGAGAGTGAGAGTGAGAGAGAGAGAGAGAGAGAGAGAGAGAGAGAGAGAGAGAGAGAGAGAGAGAGAGAGAGAGAGAGAGAGAGAGAGAGAGAGAGAGACAGACAGACAGACAGACAGACAGAGACAGACAGACAGAGACAGACAGACAGAGACAGAGAGAGACAGAGAAAGAGAGACAGAGACAGAGAGAGACAGAGAAAGATAGACAGAGACAGAAACGGCCAGGCCCAGAGCCAGAGACAGAGCTAGAGAAAAAAGAGAGAAACAAACCCAGAGTGGAAATAATCCCGAGGTGGTCTCACCTGTGAACGGGTTGAGGAGGATCGGGCATGCGTAGTTGCACTGGGGCCAGGCGCAGCGGTCGGTCAAGTGCAACGTGTTAGCAGGACACATTTCCTCGTGCAAATCCTCACCCGACTCGCGACTCGGAGCTGTGTGAGTCGCGGGGGATGGCGGTGAGTCAGAGAAGGTGGTGGACGATGAAGATGAAGAGGATGAAGATGATGGTGAAGAAGAGGATGATGAAAATGAAGACGGATTGTCAATTGTTAGTGAGAGCGGCGACATCGTGTGGTGGTGGTGTGATGGTGGAGATTCTGTGGTGGAGGAAGGTGGAGAGTGGTGGAGAGAGGTCTGTTTGGAATGGAGGAGAGCAATGGAACGAGCCTGTCTAACCGCGTCTCCTAGCACCGTCTCTGCTTCAGATGAAACTGGAAAAACATCGAGAGTCTTAACACTTTTGATTACATGGCGGGCGGGTAGTGTTATGGCCATTGGTTTTAATTGATCTACTTCTTTATTGCTTGTTGTTATCATTGTTTACATTTATCCTGCACTTATCTGTTGTTTATTCATGTGTGTGTGTGTGTGTTGTTTTGAGGTTTGTCGTGGGAAGACTGTTAGTGTTTTTGTGAAGGAATATACATTATATTTTTCCAGGATTCATCACCAGCATTGGCTTTTATTCTACTTGTTGTTACAACATTTAATTTCAAGAATTTCAAAATCACTCTAAATATTTAGAAGATACGTAATATTGTACCTTTGGATTTTCTTTTCTTCTTCCTTGTTTTGTCCTTATTTCTCTGTCTCCTGTTCCTCTTCTTCCCCCTCTTTTTATTCCTTTTTCTCTTCTTCCTGCCCTTGTTTCGGTTTTTCTTCTTCCGTCTTCTCCTCCTCCTTTCCTTCCTGGTGAGTTCCTTCTTGTCGTCTTCCCGCTTCTCGGCCTCTTCCTGCTGCTGCTTGAGTTTCGTGCTTTCCTGCGTCGTGTCGATGGCGTTGGACTCCACGAGGTACGGGGGAGCGGCGTGCTTGTCCGGGCCCTTGGAGCTGTCCCTGGGGGAGTCCGCCAGCATCTCCCTGTTGAGGACGCCCGGCCTCCCCGCCCCCTGGGACTGTCTGCGGCTCGTCTTCCTGTGGGACTTCTTGCTGGAGCTGTGGCTGTCCTGCTCCCCGCCGGCTCTCGTGTTGGTTAGGTCCTCCTCGCTTTGCCCGCTCTCCTCCTGGGTTTTCCTCCGGGACTTCTTTCCCCTCCCCCTGCGCCTCCGGCCGTCTTCCCTGTCCCGTTCGCTGTTGTTTCTCCTGCGGATGCTCTTCCTTCTGCCGTCCCTCTCCCTCTCGCCGGACGAAGGGTCGTGATGGCTGTCGTGGCGGTCGTGGCCGAAGTGGTGGGCCGGATCGTGATGGTGCTCCTCCAGCTGGATTCTGACGTGGTGACGCCCCGAGGAGGACTTGGCGTGGAGGGCCGCGGCAGGAGTGATGTCCCAGCAGTAAAGGGCCTGCGGGAGCGACACCTCTCCGATCTTGACGCTGGACCAGTCGCGTTTGGTGAGGACGGTGTGCGAGATGCAGGACGGCGCAAACAGGGCTCTGCGGGCCAGGGAAGCTGCGTTAGAACTCAGACACTGAGCCTAAGGTGTACTTGGTCCAAGTAAATATAAATATTTATAGACAATGGATTTAGGAACTAATTACATTTAAGTTTTGAGGATCAGTGCTTGTAATTTGATAACAGTAATTTCTAAAATGATTTGACTATTAACACTTTCAGACTATATAAAATGAGTATTAAAGCTGCAGTTCCGAAACAGTGGTTTCTGAATAATATATTTTACCATACTTTATGACCTAAACTAGTCCTTTTAAACAATGATTTAATGGTTTTTGAAAAATGCAAAACTATAAAATCGATAATTATACTGAGCCATCGTTTCTACCTTAGCGAATAAAACAACTAACCAATAAAACAGTAAAAATAACCATCATACGAACTACCTCATCTCGCCAAACAAACCAATCAAACAAACAAAAAAGACTAAAAAAAACAAAAACGTTTCGACGGAGAAAAACTCACGTGACATTCTCGAACGTTTTCCTGAGTCTCTCGCCGATGCTGTGTATGTAATCCCACTGTTCCTTCGATATAGGTTTCCCCACGTTATCGGCTGTCATCTGCGCCTCGTCGAACACCCATTGGAAGATGAACAGAGGAGCTGATAAGCAGAAAAAGAAGAAAATTAATGGTGGTGTTTAATAAGCTATTAGTAGTTATGAGTTATAAGTGGTAAATATAAGGAAAATTTGATAATGATAAGGAAGGGGTGGTTAAAGATGGGAAACAGCGTTGGGTTTACGAAGAAGAAAAATGACACAGTGTAAATGGAAGGCAAGCGTAGATTTTTAGAGTCGGGAGGAAGTCGGCTTTTTAAAAATACCTTAGAGGAATAACAATCATGGTGATAGTGATGGTAATGATGATGATGATGATGAATCAGAGAATCCTCACAAGAAAAAAGTCTACCTCTTTCCACAGACACTCACAGCCAGAATTCCCAACGGCCGGACTCACCCTTCATGGTCTCGTAGAGGCGGTACCCGAAGTAGCAGTACCACGGGTGGCGCGGGTACTGCTCCGCGCATGCGTCGGGGATGCGTCCGCGCCACAGCTCCTGGCCGCGGCGGATGGCTTCGACGGGCGGGCAGCTGTGGGCGTCGACGCACTTGAGGGGCGCGAAAGGCTCGTTGTCGAGGAACCAGCCCGAGTCGGCCACGGCGCGCACCTCCGCCCGGATGCCCTGCCGCGCCAGCTGCGCCGCCACGCGGTCCACGTTCACCAGCGCGCCCACGCCGCCCGCGCTGAGGGAGGGATCGGGTTAGAGAGGGTGTCTTGGGGGGGGGGGGTTAGGAGGTCTTCGTGTGATGGTTGGGAGGGAAGAGAAATCTAACCCAAAAGAAACAAGTGCTGAGGATTTTTATCTTAACCTATTTTTCTCAATTAGATTCTTGTAAAACCCCAATAAGCAAGTCCAGGAAGCAACGGTACTTATACAAACAAGATATATACACACAAATGATAATAACGATAATAATAATAGTATTAATAACATTAACCACAAAACCAAAATAAATGTACAAAATAAAATACATACAAGTGCGTGAGGTTGAAAAAAAAAAACACAAAAAACATTGAATAAGAAAATGAATCAAAATCAAAATCAAAACCAACGAAAGCTCAC